TAATACAACATTTGTGTGCCCCAAACTGGTTAATATCTGAGTACAGGACTGCCTGTCCAACTGGGAAGTAGAAAAAGAGTGTATGGGGTATTTTAGAAGGGAGGCTTTGAACCTTAATATATTTCCCCGTCACTGATAGTGACAATCTTAAAAGGTTGTTTTCTTACCTCAAGTACAGAAAATGCCCTTTTCCTTCCCACCCACATCACTACCCTCCTTGAAGATAACAGGTGCTAGAATGGAAAAGGAGTAGGTATCTTTAATCTCCCTGATTAAATGAAAGAAAATGTTAGCCTGAGAGTGCCTGACTGAAAAGTAACCAAAAGCATACTATCAAGCACTACTTAGCTTTTTAGTGCCTTAACCCTGACCCTGTTACCCATGTTGTAAAATTTCTAGACCCCAGCCACTGAAGTTATCTGTGGCCCAAGAGGCAGGACACACACACAAAAAGATACTGATTTCAATATATGAATAGTTGATATCCCAAAATAAAAGTTTATGTTTCCCTTAGAAACATATTTTGCTACAGAAGGAGCAGCATTGAGAAAGAAAAACATTAACAACAACAACAACAAAAACATTTTGCTTGATTGGTTCTCCCAGCACTTTGGGAGGCTTAGGTGGGTGGATCACAAGGTCAGGAGTTTGAGACCACCCTGACCAATATGGTGAAACCCCGTCTCTACTAAAATACAAAAATTAGCTGGGTGTGGTGGTGGGCTTCTGTAGTCCCAACTACTTAGGAGGCTGAGGCAGAATAATTGCTTGAATCCAGGTGGCAGAGGTTGCAGTGAACCAAGATCACGACATTGCACTTCAGCCTAGGCAACAAGAGCAAAACTCCCATCTAAAAAAAAAGAAAAAGAGGCCGGCTATGGCTGGGTTCAGTGGCTCATGCCTGCAATCCCAGCACTTTGGAGGCCAAGGCAGGTAGATCACCTGAAGTCAGGAGTTCAAGACCAGCATGGCCAACATGGTGAAATTCTGTCTCTATAAAAAATACAAATATTAGCTGGGCATGATGGCGGATGCCTGTAATCCCAGCTACTAGGTAGGCTGAGGCAAGTGAATCTCTGGAACCCAGGAAGCAGAGGTTGCAGTGACCTGAAATCATGCCATTGCACTCCAGCCCGTGCAACAGAGTGAGACTCCGTCTCAAAAACTAACTAAATAAATAAATAATTAATTAAAAAGTGAAACAGAACTGGGTTCTCTGCTTCAGAGTCACAGGCTGCAATCCAGGTGCCAGCCAGGGCTAGGTTCTCCTCAGAGGCTCTTCTAGGATTCATAGTAGATTGCTTCTTTGAAGCCAGGAAGAAAGGAAGAGACAGAGACACACACAGAGAGAGAGGCAGGCTGTAGTACCAGGCAGCTAGCAAGACAGTGTTAGAAAACTGTAATTATAGAAATGACATCTCATCATTTTTATCATGGTCCATTGGTTAGAAGCAAGTCACAGACCAAGTCAAACTCAAGGAAAGGGGATTATACAGGGGCTAAATACCAGGAGGCAGGGGTCATGGGGCCACCTTAAAGTCTGTCTCAAGGGTGTATAGATTTGTTTTTGTTTTGTTTCATTCCAGCAGTGGTAAGAAAGAGTATGAAAAGGTAGGAGCAGCTTCCTGTACATTGGATGAAAATATGCTGAAATTGATGGGGACAAGTCCAGTCTAACCCCACTCCAACTCTGACTTCAGTCATGCCAAAGAAAGATATATGGAGATCGGAGTTATTTCCTCACCATTTTATAGCTTAACTGCCTGCAGAACACTCTGTAGATCTAATGAACAATACAAAAAGGTGAAACAATAAAATGCAGAAGGCTGGGTGTGATGGCTCACGCCTGCAGTCCCAGCACTTTGGGAGACCAACGCCAGCCGATCGCTTTGAGCTCAGGAATTCGAAACCAGCCTGGCCAACACACCGAAAACCCATCTCTACTAAAAATACAAAAATTAGACGTGCTGGCACAGGCCTGTAATCCCAGCTACTAAGGAGGCTGAGGCAGGAGAATCGCTTGAACCTGGAAGGTGGAAGTTGCAGTGAGCCAAGATTACACAACTGCACTCCAGCCTGGGCAAGAGTGAGACTCGGTCTCCAAAACAAAAATAAAAAAGAATGCAGAAGAGGTTTGGGTTGTGTTTGTGATCAAGGAAGTTACAGCAAACAGGTGAGAGTTCAGAAGATTTTCAGGAGGGCTGAGATAAGGTGGAGGAAGCCACAGGTTCCAGACTTTAGATGCAAAAATGAAGGGTGATAGGGTTTGGGTATTTGTTCCCTCCAAATCTCATGTTGAAATGTAATCCCCAGTGTTGGAGGTAGAGCCTAGCGGGAGTGATTCTATCATAGGGGTAGATCCCTCATTAATAGTTTGACATCATACCTGCTCACTTGGCCTACTGACTGGCATGGCTGGGCACCACTACCACCTTAAGAAGGGGATGAGGGCTGCAAGCTGGGAGCACTAGGTTCTAGGGAGTCTCATATTCCTTAACCAGCTCCTGTTTGATCTGTCTGGATTTATTTATTTATTTACTTATTTAATTTTTATTTTATTTTATTTTAATTTTTATTTTTTTTTGAGACGGAGTTTCGCTCTTGTTGCCCAGGCTGGAGTGCAATGGCGCGATCTCGGCTCACCACAACCTCCGCCTCCTGGGTTCAGGCAATTCGCCTGCCTCAGCCTCCTGAGTAGCTGGGATTACAGGCATGCACCACCATGCCCAGCTAAATTTTTTTGTATTTTTAGTAGAGACGGGATTTCACCATGTTGACCAGAATGGTCTCGATCTCTTGACCTCGTGATCCACCCGCCTCGGCCTCCCAAAGTGCTGGGATTACAGGCTTGAGCCACCGCGCCCGGCATAAGACCAGGTTTTACCATGTTGGCTAGGCTGTTCTTGAGCTCCTGTCCTCTGGTAATCTGCCTGCCTTGACCTCTCAAAGTGCTGGGATTACAGGTGTGAGCCATGGTGCGTAGTCTTATGGGGCTTTTAGAAGCTGCAGCTGTGCCCTCCCCGCTAGCTGGGGCTGGGTGGTCTCAGGCTGCTTTGGCCAGCCCCTGACACGGTCTGAGCACGCGCTGCCTCCGCCCCAGGCGGGTTCAAGGAACACCTGAGCCTGGCTTTGAATGCGCAGGTGCAGCGACTTGTATTTGACGCCACCGAAAGGTGTCCTGCGGGCCAAGAAGCGGGAGGATCCCATGGAGGAGGCACAGCGCTAGGAGGACAGCACGCCAAGGAAGTGAGCGGGAGGATGAACGGGACTGCAAGGAGTGGGGGGCTGCAGCCTGCGAGGTGAGTGCCTCAAGAGATGTGCCTAATTTAAAAGCGAAGTAGTGAAACCCCGTCTTTGCTAAAAATTAGCCGGTGCCGTGGCACGTACCTGTAGTCCCAGCTACTCTAGAGGCTGAGGCCGGAGAATCATTTGAACCCAAGAGGTGGAGGTCGTAGTGAGCGGAGACTGCGCCATTGCACTCCAGCCTGGGCAACAGAGAGAGACTCCGTCTCAAAAAAAAAAAAAAAAAAAAAAAAAAAGAAAGAAAGAAAGAAAGCCAAGCTGTTTTCCAGAATGTTTGTGTCATGTTACATTCCCAGCAGCAAGAGAGAGCCAAACAATATGAGTGCTCCAGTTCCTCCATACCCTTATCAACCCTTAGTATGGTCAATCAACTTATTTATTTTCATTTTATTTTGAGACAGGGTCTCAGTTTGTCGACCAGGCTGCAGTGCAGTGGCATGAATACAGCTCACTGCAGCCTCGACCTTCCAAGCTCAAGTGATCCTCTCTCTTCAGCCACCTCAGTAGCTGGGACTACAGGCTCACACCACCATGCCTAGCATATGTGTGTGTGTATACATATATATATATATATATATATATATATATATGTAATTTATTTTTATTTATTTATTTATTGGTAGAGTATGGGTCTCTATGTTGCCCACGCTGGTCTCCAACTCCTGGGCTCAAGTGAGCCTCCCACCTTGGCCTCCGAAGGTGTGGGGATTACAGGCGTTGAGCCACTGTGCCTGGCTGTTTGGGTGAAATTTTGAGTCAATAAAAAACTTTCTTGAGACAGGGTCTGGCTCTGTTGCCCCAGCTGGATTGCAGTGGCATGATCTCGGCTCACTGCTGCCCCCGCCTCCTGGGTTCAAGCAATAATCGTTATTGTGAGTCAGCCAACAAAGAGACAGGAGTCCAGCTCAAATCTGCCTCCTGTGCTCTTCTGAAGTCAGTACTTTTTACATTTTTATTGTTTTTTGTTGTTGTTGTTGTTTGTTTTTTTGAGACGGAGTCTCGCTCTGTTGCCCAGGCTGGATCTGTTGCCCAGTGGCATGATCTCAGATCAGGCCACTGCAACCTCTGACTCCCGGATTCAAGCGATTCTCCTGCCTCAGCCTCCCGAGTAGCTGGGACTACAGACCTCAGCCACAGCGCCCGGCCGAACCTGAACCTTTTACAGGATTTTTTTTTTTTTTTTTTTTTTTTTTTTTTGAGACAGAGTTTCACTCTTGTTACCCAGGCTGGAGTGCAATGGCGCGATCTCGGCTCACCGCAACCTCCGCCTCCTGGGCTCAGGCAATTCTCCTGCCTCAGCCTCCTGAGTAGCTGGGATTACAGGCACGCGCCACCATGCCCAGCTAATTTTTTTTGTATTTTTAGTAGAGACGGGGTTTCACCATGTTGACCAGGATGGTCTCGATCTCTTGACCTCGTGATCCACCTGCCTCGGCCTCCCAAAGTGCTGGGATTACAGGCTTGAGCCACCGCGCCCGGCCCTTTGACAGGATTTTAACTCACTTCCTAGTAAAGTGGAACACGCGCGTTCCCTGGGTTGCTCTGCCATCCCAGGTTTCAGCAATGGGAAATCGCTTGGACCCCCGCTAAGAGGCGGGGCTCGGGGTATGACGCCACCGGCCTACAACGTTGTCGTTGACTCTCACGTCTGTGCTCCAGCGGCCTTTGCTCACTTCCGTAGAGGCGGGACTTCCGGCCTTCTCATAGCACTTCCGGCCATAGCGTAAAGCTTCGCTGCTAGACAGTGTGCGGGCGGTGCCGCGGCTCAGAACACCTGGTCTCTCGGCGCGCTGGTGAGTTTCAAAGGTTCGGGGAGCTTACGGAACGAGCGTTCCTGGCGGGTGAGTCTCCTTGCAGTGCTCTCGGCTTTTTCTTTCTTCCGTTCCTGGAATCTTCCCAGATTTCCAGAGCCGGGCGTTGCCTGCTCCCTGCAACTTTGACCCAACCCAGTTGTGCCAGCCCGAGGGGAGTGCTAAGGCGAGTGCGTGTGTGCCGGGAGGCGGGCCAGCTGGCTGGGTTGGGACCGCCCTGCGCCTCCTGGAAGGCCTTATTTAGGAGTAGCCGGACGTGATCCCTTGCATTTTAAGCTTCTCTCGGAGAATTGGCATGTTACTTTGGAAGAGGTGAATATGGTACGGGCGACCAACAACTTTTACAAGGTGTCCTCTTAGCGCATTCAAAGCCAGGCTCAGGTGTTCCTTGAACCCGCCTGGGGCGGAGGCAGCGCTTGCTCAGACCCTGCCAGGGGCTGGCCAAAGCAGCCGGAGCCCACCCAACCCCAGCTAGTGGGGAGGGCACAGCTGCAGCTTCTAAAAGCCCCATAAGACTACGCACCGGGCCGGGTGCGGTGGCTCACGCCTGTAATCCCAGCACTTTGGGAGGCCGGGGCGGGTGGATCACGAGGTCAAGAGATCGAGACCATCCTGGTCAACATGGTGAAACCCCGTTTCTACTAAAAATACAAAAAATTAGCTGGGCATGGTGGCGCGTGCCTGTAATCCCAGCTACTCAGGAGGCTGAGGCAGGAGAATTGCCTGAACCCAGGAGGCGGAGGTTGCGGTGAGCCGAGATCGCGCCATTGCACTCCAGCCTGGGTAACAAGAGTGAAACTCCGTCTCAAAAAAAAAAAAAAAAGACTACTCACCATGGCTCACACCTGTAATTCCAGCACTCTGAGAGGTCAAGGCAGGCAGATTACCAGAGGACAGGAGCTCAAGAACACCCTGTCGTTCCGAATCACTTAACATTGGTTATGACGGAGAAATGACGTTAAGTAGGTGGAGAGCACTTAAAGCAACTATTTTTTGTTTGTTCTTTTGAGACGGAGTCTTGCTTTGTTGCTCAGGCTGGAGTGCAGTGGCACGATCTTGGCTGACTGCAACCTTTGCCTCCCGGGTTCAAGTGATTCTCCTGCCTCAGCCTCCAGAGTAACTAGAACTACAGGCATGAGTCACCACACCCGGCTAATTCTTGTATTTTTAGTAAAGACGGGGTTTCTCCATGTTGGCCAGGCTGCTCTCGAGCTGCTGACCTCAGGTGATCTGCCCGCCTCGGCCTCCCAAAGTGCTGGGATTCCAGGTGTCAGCCACTGCGCCTGGACTAAAGTAACTATTTTTTCTTGGTGTTTACTACCTACCAAATGGGGACTGTTCTAAGTTGTGGGTGGATCCAAATGCTTGTATGATAGCTTTATCCTCAGAGAAGCAGTCTTGGCGGGAAGACAGGGTTAGCAAATTGCCAAAGTTACAGAAAGTTAGTGGAGGTGGAGATGAAGAGAGAGTACTTCTCTTTTGTCTGGCATTAATAAAGCCACAGCCACTGACTTTTGATATTTGTTTTATAACGTTTTTCATCTTTTTAAGTTTTTTTTTTTTTTTTTTTGAGACAGTTTCACTCTTGTTACCCAGGCTGGAGTGCAATGGCGCGATCTCGGCTCACCACAACCTCCACCTCCTGGGTTCAGGCAATTCTCCTGCCTCAGCCTCCTGAGTAGCTGGGATTACAGGCATGCGCCACCACGCCCAGCTAATTTTTTGTATTTTTAGTAGAGACGGGGTTTCACCATGTTGACCACGTTGGTCTTGATCTCTCGACCTCGTGATTCACCCGCCTCGGCCTCCCAAAGTGCTGGGATTACAGGCTTGAGCCACCGCGCCCGGCCTTTTTTAAGTTTTAACTTGTCTGTATGCTCATAATTTATGTGCTGTTGTAAGCAGCATATCCCTGGGATTTTTTTTTTTTTTTTTAAGCTAAGCGGTTAGGCTTTTGTTTTTTGGAGACAGAGTCTTGCTCTGTTGCCCAGGCTGGTGTGCAGTGGCCCAATCTCAGCTCATTGCAACCTCTCTGCCTGCCGGTTGCAAGTAATTCTCCCACCTCAGCCTCTTGAGTAGCTGGGATGACAGGCACAAACCACCCCACTGTTAATTTTTTTTTTCTTTTTCTTAATTTTGTCATGTTGGCCAGGCTGGTTTTAAACTCCTAACCTCAGGTGATCCACCTGCATTGGCCTCCCAAAGTGCTGGAATTACAGGTGTGAGCCAGCATGCCTGGCCCAGCCTGCCTTTTGACTGGCAGGTTTATTAGATTTACATTCATTGTTACTATTGTAATATTTGTTCAGATCACAATCTTTGGTGTCAATCCTGATTAATCTCTTTCATATATATCAGCAAATCCTATGGACTCTCCACCTGTCCACACTCCCAAGCTCTTCTCATCACCTTCACTTGTTCAAGTTACATTGTCTCTCAGTTGAATTACTGCAGTCGTTTCTGCCCTTTCCTCTTTCATTCTGTTTGTATCACAGCTTCTCAACTGATCCTTCTAAAAACCATGGCAAAACCTGCTCTCTACGAAAGTACAAAAATTAGCCAGGCGTGGTGGTGGTCCCCTGTAATTCCAGCTACTCAGGAGGCTGAGACAGGAGAATAGCTTGAACCTGGGAGGCGGAGGTTGCCGTGAGCCAAGATCACACACTGCACTCCAGCCTGGGGGACAAGGGTGAGACTCTATCTCAAAAAAAGAAGAAATCGGGCCGGGCGCGGTGGCTCAAGCCTATAATCCCAGCACTTTGGGAGGCCGAGGCGGGTGGATCACAAGGTCAAGAGATCGAGACCATCCTGGTCAACATGGTGAAACCCCGTCTCTACTAAAAATACAAAAGATTAGCTGGGCATGGTGGCGCGTGCCTGTAATCCCAGCTACTCAGGAGGCTGAGGCAGGAGAATTGCCTGAACCCAGGAGGCGGAGGCTGCGGTGAGCCGAGATCGCGCCATTGCACTCCAGCCTGGGTAACAAGAGTGAAACTCCGTCTCAAAAAAAAAAAAAAAAAAATCAGATTTATCTCTTTCTTCTCAATTCCCCAAGGACTATGTATTTCACCCAGAGTAAAAGCCAAAGTCATTAGAGTGGATTATTCATATGAAGTTTTTTTTTTTTTTTTTTTTTTGAGGCGGAGTTTCGCTCTTGTTACCCAGGCTGGAGTGCAATGGCGCGACCTCGGCTCACCGCAGCCTCCGCCTCCTGGATTCAAGCAATTCTCCTGCCTCAGCCTCCTGAGTAGCTGGGATTACAGGCACGCGCCGCCATGTCCAGCTAATTTTTAGTATTTTTAGTAGAGACAGGGTTTCACCATGTTGACCAGGATGGTCTCGATCTCTTGACTTCGTGATCCACCCGCCTCGGCCTCCCAAAGTGCTGGGATTACAGGCATGAGCCACCGCGCCTGGCCATATGAAGTTTTTTTTTTTTTTTTTGAGACGGAGTTTTCGCTCTTGTTACCCAGGCTGGAGTGCAATGGCGCGATCTCGGCTCACCGCAATCTCCGTCTCCTGGGTTCAGGCAATTCTCCTGCCTCAGCCTCCTGAGTAGCTGGGATTACAGGCACGCGCTACCATGCCCAGCTAATTTTTTGCACTTTTAGTAGAGACGGGGTTTCACCATGTTGACCAGGATGGTCTCGATCCCTTGACCTTGTGATCCACCCGCCTCGGCCTCCCAAAGTGCTGGGATTACAGGCTTGAGCCACCGCGCCCGGCATATATGAAGTTTTATATAGCGTGGCTCTGCTTCATTTCTGATCTCATCTTGTTCTAATCTCCTGTTTGCTCCACTCTATGGCTTCCTCAAGCACATCCTAGTCTCAGGATATTTTTGCTTGGTATTCCTTTCCCTCATATGTCCACATGGTTCAGTTCTTTACCTCTCTCTTATTTTGGGGACTGTTACCTTCTCAGGGAGGCCTTCTCTGACAAGCCACTGTCAGCTTTAACATATCCATTGCGCTTATCATATGACATACCCTGTGATAGTCATTTATCTGGGTTATTATGTTTTCTCTCACTGGCATAGAGGGTTTATTACGGAAGGTGTTTTTCCGTTTTGTTTACTGCTTTATTCCTTTTTTTTTTTTTTTTTTTTTTTTTTTTGAGGCAGAGTCTCACTCTGTTGCCTAGGCTGGAGTGCAATGGTGTGATCTCTGCCTCCTGGGTTCAAGCAGTTTTCTGCCTCAGCCTCCCAAGTAGCTGGGATTACAGGCACCTGACACCATGCCCAGCTAATTTTTGTATTTTTAGTAGAGACAGGGTTTTACCATGTTGGCCAGTTTGATCTTGAACTCCTGACCTCGTGATCTACCTGCTTTGGCTTCCCAAAGTGCTGGGATTACAGACGTGAGCCACTGTGCCTAGCCTTTTTTTTTTTTTTTTTTTTTTTTTAAGATCTCTTATTGTACTGTACTTGTAAAATTCATTACTGTTATATTCCGATTGCCTAAAATAGTATCTGGCTTTTAGCAGACACTCCATAATGTAATTGTTGACTGAATGAATTTGGGGTTTTTGTACCATCTTCTGCACTTTGTATTTTCTGTGCTTTATTCCTCCTTTCTTGTCTTCCGCCCCTTACTTTTTTTTTTTTTTTTTTTTTTGAGACAGAGTCTCCCTCTGTCATCCAGGCTGGAGTACAGTGGCGTGATCTCAGCTCAGTGTAACCTCTGCCTCCCGGGTTCAAGTGATTCTCTCACGTCAGCCTCCTGAGTAGCTGGGATTATAGATGCGTGCTACCACAGCCCAGCTATTTTTGTATTTTTAGTAGAGATGGGGTTTCACCACGTTGGCTCGGCCGGTTTCGCCATATTGGTCAGACTGGTCTCAAATTCCTGACCTCAGGTGATCCGCCTGCCTCAGCCTCCTAAAGTGCTGAGATTACAGGCATAAGCCACTACGCCTGGCCTTTTTTCATATTTTTTGCACAACAGGGTCTCGTTTAGTTGCTCAGGCTGGAGTACAGTGGTGTGCTCAGGGCTCACTGCAGCCTTGGCCTCCCAGAGTGCCGGGATTACAGGTATGAGCCACCATGCTCGGCCAGATTATTTTTTTTCTGAGACAAAGTCTTGCTGTCTTGTCTGGGCTGGAGTGCAATGGTGTGATCTCTGCTCAACGGGAGTTGGGGACCATCCTGGGCAACATGGCCAAACCCCTTCTCTACTGCAAATACAAAAATTAGCTGGGCGTGGTGGCACACCTCTGTGATCCCAGCTACTCGGTGGCTGAGGCACTAGAATCTCTTGAGCCTGAGAGGTGGGGGTTGCAGTGAGCCAAGATTGTACCACTGCACTGCACTCCAGCCTGGGTGACAGAGCAGGAGTCTGTCTCAAAAAGAAAAAAAAAAAAATCCTTTAAAGGAATTTTATTAAGTTCTTACCAGTGTTGTATTTTTCTTCCTAGATCTTATATTTTGGATTCTGGGTATATTATAATGAGTGACACATTGACATTGGATGTCATTGGTCGAAGAGTTGAAGTTAATGGGGAACATGCAACAGTACGTTTTGCTGGTGTTGTCCCTCCTGTGGCAGGTAAGTAGTGTGTGTGTGTGTGTGTGTGTGTGTGTGTGTGTGTATTTTGCAGCTGTTTCTGTGTAGGCTTCTCAGTAGCACTTCATACCACAAATTTGAGGAAATTAACCAATTTACAGATGCCTCCTGTATCCAGTTTTATTTGAGTGACAGTATCCTGTGGCATCTATGATTTTGTTTAAATATATGCCATTTAATTATTTAGTGTTGCTGTCTTTATAAAATGAACCTTAAAATATCTTCTGAGGAAACTTTAAACAGCTGAAAGTCTTGAAGCCTCACAACCTTCAACTCCAGCAATTTTTTTGAAATTTCTTTTGTCATTAATCCATGTGTGTAGGTGTCTAATACAGTTAAAATTGATATACATTACAATTTTTGTTACCTTTTTTAAACTTATTTTTTGGTATAAATTTATGTTTCTACAGCATTATTTTGCTTGTATTTCTTTCTGATGACAGTATAGTATATAGTTCTCCATTTTGGATGTTAATTTCTGGTTTATAGAGTAATAATGTAGTAGACTTAGTCATAAGTCTTAGTCAACACAAATCTGACTGTTTTCTGCGTATTACAATTGGCTTGAATCGGTACAGGGGCCTTGGTGATAGATTTAGACCACACGTTCTCAAAATGTGGTCCTTGGCCAGTGTCAGGGTCATGTGGTTAGTTGTTAGTAATGCTGGTTCTTGAGCCTCACCAAGAATCAGAAACTGTGGTGGTGGGACCCAGGAATTTGTGTATTAAAAGCACTCCAGGGGGTTCTTTTTTTTTTCTTTTTTAAAGTAAAAGCAAGTTTATTAGGAAAGTAAAGGAATAAAAGAATGGCTACTCCATACACAGAGCAGTCCTAAGGGCTTGCCCATTTTCATGATTATTTCTTGATAAGCTAAACAAGGAGTAGATTATTCATGCCTCCCCTTTTTAGACCATATAGGGTAACTTCCTGATGTTGTTATGACATTTGTAAACTGTCATGGTGCTGGTGTGAGTGTAGTAGTGAAGACGACCAGAGGTCACCGCGCATCGCCATCTTGGTTTTGGTGGGTTTTGCTGCCTTCTTTACTGCAATCTGTTTTATCAGCAAGGTCTTTGTGACGTGTACCTTGTGCCGACCTCCTGTCATATCCTGTGACTTAGAATGCCTTATCTGTCTGGGAATGCAGCCTAGTAGGTCTCAGCCTCATTTTACCTAGCGCCTATTTGAGGTGGAGTTGCTCTGGTTCACACATCGGCCATTTCCCCCCTCTCTTTTATAAGAGAACCCTTAATCCTCTTTTTTTTTTTTTTTTTTTTTTTTTTTTTGAGACAGAGTTTCACTCTTGTTACCCAGGCTGGAGTGCAATGGCGCGATCTCGGCTCACTGCAACCTCCGCCTCCTGGGCTCAGGCAATTCTCCTGCCTCAGCCTCCTGAGTAGCTGGGATTACAGGCACGTGCCACCATGCCCAGCTAATTTTCTGTATTTTTAGTGAGATGGGGTTTCACCATGTTGACCAGGATGGTCTTGATCTCTCGACCTCGTGATCCACCCGCCTCGGCCTCCCAAAGTGCTGGGATTACAGGCTTGAGCCACCACGCCCGGCTGAGAACCCTTAATCCTAAAGGTTGCAGAGGGATGAAAATCTATCTTCTGTAACTTCTTCAGGCTGAAAAGGGGCAATGATATTCCTATTAGGAGCTCAGTCAGAAATCATTAGTATGGTAAGAGCCATTCACGACTTTTTTTTTGAGATGGAATCTCGCTCTGTTGCCCAGGCTGGAGTGCAGTGGCAGAATATGGGCTCACTGCAACCTCTGCCTCCCAGTTTCAAGTGATTCTCCTGCCTCAGCCTCCTGAGTATCTTGGATTATAGGTCTATACTGCCATGCCTGGCTAGTCCTCAGCTAATTTTTATATTTTTTTGTAGAGATGGCGTTTTACCATGTTGGCTAGGCTGGTCTTGAACTCCTGACCTCAGGTGATCTGCCCGCCTCAGCCTCCCCACAAGTGTTGGGATTATAGGCGTGAGCCACCGCACCTGGCCCCATTCGTAACTCTTAAGTTCTGACAAAAGGCAATATCTGGGCCAGGCATGCTGGCTCACACCTATAATCCCAGCACTATGGGAGGCTGAGGCAGGCAGATCACAAGGTCAGGAGTTTGAGACCAGCCCGGCCAACATGGTGGAACTGCTGTCTGTACTAAAAAAACAAAAATTAGCTGGGCCTGGTGGTGGGCCCCTATAATCCCAGCTACTCGGGAGGCTGAGGCAGGAGAATCACTTGCAACCAGAAGGTGGAGGTTGCAGTGAGCTGAGATTGTGCCACTGTACTCCAGCCTGGGCAACAAGAGCAAAACTGTCTCAAAAAAAAAAAAGAATCATTATTTTTCATATAAGCTCTTTTTAAGTGGGCTTTGATGGAACTCTGTTCCATAGAAAGAACCTCAGATAAGACTTTTTTTTTTTTTTTTGGAGACATAGTCCCACAGTTCTGCTCTGTTGCCTGGGCTGGAGTCCAGTGGCACGATCTCGGCACACTGCAACCTCCGCCTCCCAGGTTTAAGCAATTCTCCTGCCTCAGCCTCCTGAATAGCTGGGATTACAGGCATTTGCCACCACACCCAGCTAATTTTTTTTTGTATATTTAGTAGAGACATGGTTTCACCATGTTGGCCAGGTTTGTCTTGAACTCCTGATCTCAGGTGATCTGCCTGCCCTGGCCTCCCAAAGTGCTGGGATTACAGGTGTGAGCTCCTGCGCCAGGCAAGACTTTTTTCCCCTTTGTTATTTGGAAGGGCAAGACTTTTTTAAAACCAAGCCTAGCCATGGGTTTGTACCCCAAATATCAAATACCTATCAGGTGAGTAAATTCCTCTCCTCTTGGCCTCCCAAGATAAATTGGGGCTCCTGGGCCTGTGAGAAAGTGACATTTTATACTTACCACAGGTCAGGAACCCTGTATAGAGACTGTGGAGACAAGGAGTGAGATGTTTTCCCAAGGGGCTGTTATTGGCTTTGCAAGTCAAGTTTGATTCCTTGAAGGAAAGCTTGTCATTCCAGTTAAAGCCTTGGTAAAATAAGCAGTTTTTTCAATTCTGTCCTTTTACAGAAGAAAACGGATTCTTTGCCAGGCACCGTGGCTCACCCCTGTAATCCCAGCACTTTGAGAGGCCAAGGTGGGTGGATCACCTGAGGTCAGGGTTTTGAGATCAGCTTGCCAACATAATAAAATCCCGTCTCTACTAAAAATACAAACAATTAGCCAAGCGTGGTGATGCACACCTGTATCCTACCTACTCAGGAAGCTGAGGTAGAAGAATTGCTTGAACCTGAGAGGTGGAGGTTGCAGTAAGCCAAGAGTGTACCACTGCACTCTCGTCTTAAGGAAGACTCCATCTCAAAAAAACAAAAAACAAAAACAAAAAAAACAGATTCTTATTGCACTTATGCAAGTAACTATATTGTCATAAATTAAGAATACTTACAAATAGTTTCCAAGTTCTGAAGAAATCAGGTAGAGGAAACAAATATGCTTCAAATTTTGTTTACAGGAGTATACTTCACTGAGTGTTTTTTTTTTTTTTTTTTTTTTTTGAGAAAGAGGTTTCCTCTTTTCACTCAGGTTGGAGTGTGGTGGTGTGATCATGGCTCAATGCAACCTTTGCCTCCTGGATTCAAGCCTCAGCCTCTGGAGTAGTTGGACACCTGTCACTACACCCAGCTAATTTTTGTATTTTTTGTAGAAACTGCGTTTCACCGTGTTGGCCAGGCTGGTCTCGAACTCCTGATCTCAGGTGATCTGCCTGCCTTGGCCTCCCAAAGTGCTGGGATTACAGTCATGAGCCATTGAACTCGCCTCGCCTACTCAATTGTTGAAAGCTGGAAATAGCTCAAAAGAAAAGTTTTCTTGGTTCCCAAGTCAGCCAATCAGTGCTGCAGTCTGTTTCCTTTGTGTCAGGGGGTTTCTTCAGTATCATCCCTTCTGTGGTTCACTGTAAAGACTTTACCAAAACCCACCACTTACCTAAACTTAGCTTTGGGTCAGGGATTTCCACATTATAGTGCCTTCAGTGGTCACCAGAAAGTTGTTACAGGAAAAGGGTCCCAATCCAGACTCCAAGAGAGGGTTCTTAGATCTCATGCAAGAAAGAATTCAGGGCAATTCTGTAAAGTGAAAACAAGTTTATCAGGAAGGTAAAGGAGTAAAAGAATGGCTACTCTATAGACAGAGCAGCCCCTCCAGGGGATTCTGATATGCAATAAAGTTTGATGACAGCCATTGAACAAAATACATGTGGACTCTGCCTTCATGGAGGTCGTGGAAGTCTTTAACATATACTTAATATGGCAAGGGTTTTTTTCTTTCCTGATATTGAGACTGTCTGGAAAAAAAAAAAAAAAACCGAAACAGAAAAAAAAAATAACCTGACCTCAGGTGATCTGCCTGCCTTGGCCTCCCAAAGTGCTGGGATTACAGGCATGAGCCACTGCACCCAGCCCCATTCTTCTCTCTAGCTCCATGAGTTAAATTTTTTAAATTGTTTAGCTCCTACAAATAAGAGAACATGTGAGGTTTGTCTCTGTGCTTGGCTTATTTCGCTTAACATAATGACCTCCATTTCCATCCATGTTATTGCATATGATAGGATCTCATTCTTTTTAAGGCTGGATAGTACTTTATTGTGTATGTATTTGTTTATCCATTCTCTGTTGATGGACACTTAGGCTGATTCCAAGCCTTGGCTATTGTGAATAGCGCTGCAGTAAACATGGGAGTGCAGATGTCTCTTTACTGGTTTCCTTTCTTTTGGGTATAACTAGCAGTGGGATTGCTGGAACATATAGCAGTTCTGTTTTTAGTTTTTTGAGAAATCTCCAAACTGTTCTCCAGTGGTTATACTAATTTACGTTCCCACTAATGAAGTGTGAGGGTTCCCTTTTCTCCAGAATTTGTTATAGCTTGTCTTTTGGATAAAAGCCCTTTTAACTGGGTTGATGTGATATTTATTGTAGTTTTGATTTGCATTTCTCTGATCAGTGATGTTTGGCACTCTTTCATATACCTGCCTCCCATTTGTATGTCTTCTGTACAAGAGAAATGTCTATTCAGCTCTTTTGCCCATTTCTTTCTTTCTTTTTTTTTTTTCCTGAGATGGAGTTTAACTCAGTTGCCCAGGCTGGAGTGCAGATCTCTGATCACTGCAACTTCCACCTCCTGGGTTCAAGCAGTTCTTCTGCCTCAGCCTCCCCAGTAGCTGGGATTACAGGCACCTGCCACCACACCTGGCTAATTTTTTGCATTTTTAGTAGAGACAGGATTTCACCAAGTTGACCAGGCTGAATCTTGAACTCCTGACCTTGGGTGATCCACTGGCTTCAGCCTTCCAAAGTGCTAGGATTATAGGCATGAACCACTGAGCCCAGCCTTTTGCATCTTTCTTAATTGGATTATTAAATGTTTTACGAATTGAATTGTGTGAGCTCCTTATTGTAGTCTGGTTATTAATCCCTTATCAGATGAGTAGCTTGCAAAAATTTTCTCCCATTCTGTGAGTTGCCTCTTCACTTTGTTGGTTGTTTCTTTTGCTGTGCAGAACCTTTTAGATGGATAATTTATTTATTTATGTATTTGAGATGGAGTCTCACTTTGTCATCCAGGCTGGAGTAAAGTGATTCGATCTCAAGTCACTCAACCTCCACCTCCTGGGATTCAAGTGATTCTCTTTCCTCAGGCTGCCGAGTAGCTGGGTCTACAGGTGCGTACCACCACGCCTGACTAATGTTGGTATTTTTAGTAGAGATGGGGTTTCACTGTATTAGAATGGTTTGGATCTCCTGACCTCATGATGCCCACATTGGCCTCCCAAAGTTCTGGGATTACAGATGTGAGCCACTGCACCCGGACAGATTAATTACTTTTAATTCTTGTGATGTCATTGAAGTTGGTCCTGATTATGATTGGCTTTTCATGTGGCTTGAGTCCATAAAGAATAAGAAACAAAGTAGGGTGACCAGAGTAATCGGGTTTATGTGACAGCTTTATTTATCACTGTAAATTAATAAACCTGTCCGCTACTTTCTGGTTGAGTCTTTTGTGCATTTGGAATTTACAAATTGAGGCTATCAGTGTTTGTTCACCAGGGATGTAGAAAGCAAAAATCTGGATTACACTAGATTATTCCACATTCCTGGGATCTGACTGGTGAGGTAGGTAGGCCTGCCCTTATACCACCTCTGTCTACTTTCTTATTCATACTGGGTTTTTGTTTTTGAGACAGAGTCTTGCTCTGTTGCCCATGCTGGAGTGCAGTGCATGATCGATCTCGGCTCACTGCAACCTCCGCCTCCTGGATTCCAGCGATTCTTCTGCCTCAGCCTCCTGAGTAGCAGGGATTACAGGTGCATGCCACCACAGCTGGCTAATTTCCTTTTGTATTTTTAGTAGAGACAGGGTTTCACCGTGTTGACCAGGCTGGACTTGAACTCTTGACCTGGTGATCCACCCACCTCGTCCTCCCAGAGTGCTGGGATTACAGGTATGAGCCACCGCATCTGGCTCCCCCTTTTTTTTCTGTTTTTTTTTTTTTTTTTTTTTTTTTGGGCGGGGACAGAGTCTCGCTTTGTTGCTCAGGCTGGAGTGCAGTGGTACGATCTCGGCTCACTGCAACCTCTGTCCCCCAGATTCAAGTGATTCTTCTGCCTCTGCCCCCTGAGTAGCTTGAGACTACAGGCGCCTGCCACGATGGCCAGCAATTTTTTGTATTTTTGGTAGAGATGGGATTTCACCCTATTGGCCAGGCTGGTCTTGAACTTCTGACCTTGTGATCTGCCTGCCTTGGTCTCCCAAAGTGCTTGCTCCTTCTTCCTCCTTTAGCTTGAAAAATGACTTGTGCTTTGCAGTGACAGAATGGCCTTATTTTGTGCATTTTTCTTTGTAGCATCCATTAACTCAGTCCATTCTGATAGTTTCTATGATGATCACATTAATTGTACTTCTGTTTTTTTTTTTTTTTTTTTGAGTTGGCATTTCACTCTTGTTGCCCAGACTGGAGTGTAATGGTGTGATCTCTGCTCATTGCAACCTCTGCATCCTGGGTTCCAGCAATTCTCCCACCTCAGCCTCCTCAATAGCTAGGATTACAGGCGCTTACCACCACTCTGGGCTAATTTTTTTTTCTTTTTTTTTGAGACTGAGTGCCTCACTCTAGCCCATGCTTGAGTGCAACGGCGTGATCTTGGCTCACTGCAACCTCCTCATTCTGGATTCAGGCAATTCTCCTGCCTCATACTCTTGAGTAGCTGGGATTGCAGGCATGCGCCACCACGCCCGGCTAGTGTGTGCTATTTTAACCTATGGTTATTTTATTTTATTGTATTTTATTTTATTTTTATTATTTTTTTTAGACAGAGTTTTCGCTCTTGTTACCCAGGCTGGAATGCAATGGCGCGATCTCGGCTCACTGCAACCTCCGCCTCCTGGGTTCAGGCAATTCTCCTGCCTCAGCCTCCTGAGTAGCTGGGATTACAGGCACGTGCCACCATGCCCAGCTAATTTTTTGTATTTTAAGTAGAGACGGGGTTTCACCATGTTGACCAGGATGGTCTCGATCTCTTGACCTCGTGATCCACCCGCCTTGGCCTCCCAAAGTGCTGGGATTACAGGCTTGAGCCACCGCGCCCGGCCTCCTATGCTTATTTTAAACCCAAAGAACTTATATTATTTATATTGTCTGTATTAATTTAAGTTTACCCATATATTTACTCTTTTCTTGCCTTTTATCTCCCCCAGATTCCCCCTCCATGTCTTTAGGCTTCTATCTGGGATTTTCTTTTTCCTTAATGACTAACTTTATTGGGTTTTTCTTTTTTTTTTTTTTTTTTTGAGACAGAGTTTCGCTCTTGTTACCCAGGCTGGAGTGCAATGGCGCGATGTCGGCTCACCGCAACCTCCGCCTCCTGGGTTCAGGCAATTCTCCTGCCTCAGCCTCCTGAGTATCTGGGATTACAGGCACGCGCCACCATGCCCAGCTAATTTTTGTATTTTTAGTAGAGACGGGGTCTCACCATGTTGACCAGGATGGTCTCGATCTCTTGACCTTGTGATCCACCCGCCTCGGCCTCCCAAAGTGCTGGGATTACAGGCTTGAGCCACCGCGCCCGGCCCGGGTTTTTCTTTGCTGAAATTGAAGGAAAAAATTACTTTTCCTTCTTTTTTATGAAAAAAATTTTTTTTTTTTTTTTTTTTTTTTTTGAGATGGAGTTTTCGCTCTTGTTACCCAGGCTGGAGTGCAATGGCAGCGATCTCGGCTCACTGCAGCCTCCATCTCCTGGGATTCAGGCAATTCTCCTGCCTCAGCCTCCTGAGTAGCTGGGATTACAGGCACACGCCACCATGCCCAGCTGATTTTTTGTATTTTTAGTAGAGACGGGGTTTCACCATGTTGACCAGGATGGTCTCGATCTCTTGACCTCATGATCCACCCGCCTCGGCCTCCCAAAGTGCTGGGATTACAGGCATGAGCCACCGCACCCGGCTTTTTGAAATTTTTATTGTGGCTACATATATAATATAAAGTTTGCCATTTTAACCACTTGTTAATTTAAAATTTTAAATTGTGGTAAAATACACGTAGCAGTAGAATTTACCATCTGAACCAGTTTTGAATGTACAGCTTAGTGGTAACTATGCTGGGAATCTCATATAGGTGGAATACAGTGTTTGTCCTTTTGTGGTGGCTTATTTCTTTTAGCATAATGTCTTTAAGGGTCAATCTTGTTCAGTGTGCTCAATAAATTTGAGCCATTTGTTTTCTGCAGTGGTGGTTTTTGTTGGCTTTTTCATCCAGACATGCCATTTTTTTTTTTTTTTTTTTTTTTTTTTTTTGAGACAGAGTTTCGCCCTTGTTACCCAGGCTGGAGTGCAATGGCGCAATCTCGGCTCACCGCAACCTCCGCCTCCTGGGCTCAGGCAATTCTCCTGCCTCAGCCTCCTGAGTAGCTGGGATTACAGGCACGTGCCACCATGCCCAGCTAATTTTTTGCACTTTTAGTAGAGACAGGGTTTCACCATGTTGACCAGGATGGTCTCGATCTCTCGACCTCGTGATCCACCCGCCTCGGCCTCCCAAAGTGCTGGGATTACAGGCTTGAGCCACCGCGCCCGGCTAGACATGCCATTTTGTTTGCTGATTGAAGTCCTGAGTGTAAGGCTAACTTGTCAATTCCCAAAGACATCTCGTTCTCCTCAAATGGTGTCTGTGTGATATGGTTTCCATTGTTAATTGGTATTTGCTTGCAGAAAAATGTATCATCAACTGTTACTCATTTGGTTTTTCTTGTTCTGCTAGGACCCTGGTTAGGAGTAGAATGGGACAATCCCGAGAGAGGAAAGCATGATGGAAGCCACGAAGGGACTGTGTATTTTAAATGCAGGTAACTTTTCATTCTGAGTCAGCATGGCCATTTAGTCAAGATTATAACTAATAGTTGAATAACGAAGGATGGAGAGGAAGAAATGATTGGCTCATGGAGTAGTTATGGAATTTGTTGTATTCTAAAAAGGCAGTTATTTTATTTGTGGTGTCATTGCTGTTTGTAGAATTTTTCCCCTTTTTAAAAAAATTCTGATGACCTTATGGGTGGCATTGCTTTCTTTGTCCTTTATTGTTTTTTGACAGTCCTGTAAATTGGATGAATGTAAAGCTTTCTAGCTCATTACCAATTTACAATCCAGTAAGTGAATAATGGAAAAGAGAAATAGCTTAGATATCCAGTAAGAAGGAATTGATTACACAAAATATAGAACATCTAAATAGTGGAATGCTAAGCCACTCTTAAAAAAAATTCTTCTCATGGGAAGAGTTGCACGTTACGTTGCATTTCTTTTTTTTTTTTTTTTTTGAGACGGAGTTTTACTCTTGTTGCCCAGGCTGGAGTGCAATGGCATGATCTCTGCTCGCTGCAACCTCTGCCTCCTGGGTTGAAGCAATTCTCCTGCCTCAGCCTCTTGAGTAGCTGGGATTACAGGTATGCATCACTATGCTTGGCTAATTTTGTAGCTTTAGTAGAGACGGGGTTTCTCCATGTTGGTCAGACTGGTCTTGAACTCCTGACCTCAGGTGATCTCCCCACTTCAGCCTCCCAAAGTGCTGGGATTTCAGGTGTGAGCCACCATGCCTGGCCTGCATTTCTATTAATATTTTTGATCACCTAATATCAGAAAAAGTGAAGCTCTGAAAAGGATGCTGGGGAGCCTTTAGGCAGAGCCTGTCTTCTAAATTTTTCTTGTTAATTGGGTTTTATTAGTTTTCAAGTTCTCAAAAGGAGCTTTCTCTAGTAAGCTGTTTTTTCTTAAGTGTGGTACAGTGAAGACAATATTGCCCTAGAAATCAGGAGGCCTCTAATTTGTTTTTAACAATCTTGTTTGTTTGTTTGGTTTATTTATTTATTTATATTTGAGACAGTATCTCGTTCTGTCACTCAGACTGGAATGCAGTGGCATGATCATGGCTCACTGACACCCTGAACTCCTGGGCTTAAGTGATCTTCCTGCCTCAGCCTCCTGAGTAGGTGGGACCATAGCATGCACCAGCACACCCAGCTAATAAAAAAAATAAATTTATAGAGATGAAATTTCGCTGTTGCCCAGGCTGGTCTCAAGCGATCTTCCTACCTTGGCCTCTCAAAGTGCTGGGATTACAGGTGTGAGCCACTATACCAGTCCTGCTTTTAATAGTCTTTATTATGGTCCTTGAACAAAACAAATTTACTAACCTTTAAAATGAGGGTTACAATTAGATAACCACAATTTTAGTAAGTCAGGATGTTCTTAAAAGGCCAACTATGGCTGGGTGTGGTGGCTCACGCCTGTAATCCCAGCATTTTGGGAGGCTGAGGTGGGCTGAATCACCTGAGGTCAGGAGTTTGAGACCAGCCTGGCCAACATGGCGAAACCCTGTCTCTAATAAAAATATAAAAATTAGGTGGGTGTGGTGGCAGGCACCTGTAATCTCAGCTACTCTACTTGGGAGGCTGAGGCAGGAGAATCACTTGAACCTGGGAGGTGGAGGTTGCAGTGAGCCAAGATCATGCCACTGCACTCCAGCTTGGGCAAAAAAAGGCCAGCTATGCTTGCAGACTTGCCAGCTCTGAATCTGTCAAGAGTTAGTTGAGGATTATAGGGACAGGTTATAAGTTTAGGGAGAAATATTTTAGCCAGGTTTACAGATTCCTTAGGTACCTGGACCAGGATCACCTCGAAAACCCTCCGGTGAAAGGACTTTTGTTTTGGAGACAGAGTCTGGCTCTGTCGCCCAGGCTGGAGTGCAGTGGCACGATCTTGGCTCACTGCAACTTCTACCTCCCTGGTTCAAGCAATTCCCCTGCCTCAGCCTCCTGAGTAGTGGGAATTGCAGGTACACGCCACCATGTCTGGCTAATTTTTTTGTATTTTCAGTAGAGATGAGGTTTCACCATATGGGCCAGACCGGTCTTGAACTCCTGATCTCAGGCAGTCTGCCCATCTTGGCCTCCCAAAGTGGTGGGATTACAAGCGTGAGCCACCACGCCCAGCAAAAGGACTTTTTATTTGGAACTTACCCCAGCCTACTTCCTTCTTCTAAAAGCTTGCCCAGATTGTCCGTAATTTTATGGTCCTTATGGTACCTGGATACAGTGATATTTTCAAAGTCTTGGTGACTCTGAGCTTAAAAATCAAGAATTTCTTCAAGTCCTGGTTGATGCAGGATTTGTCCTAAATGTTGATGGGAGGTCTTGGTTCAGGGACATTGACTTAGTGTAGTCATGCATTACTTAATGAAGGGGATGCATTCTGAGAAATACCTGCTAGGTGGTTTCGTCTTTGTGTGAACATCATAGCCTACTATACGCCTAGGCTACTGTACGGCATAGCCGGTCGCTCTGAGGCTATGAACCTGTACATCACGTTACTGTGCTGAATACTGCAGGCAATTGTAACGCAGTGGTAAATATTTAAATATAGAAAAGGTACAGTAAAAATACAGTATAAAAGACCAAAAAAAATTAAGCAGTGTGGGATGGTACGTGTCAGTTAGTACCAGCTACTTGGGAGGCTGAGTCATTAGGATTGCTTATGCCTAGGAGTTTCAAGGACCAGCCTAGGCAACACAATGAGATCTCATCTTTAAAAAAAAAAAAAAAGATAGAAAATGGTACACCTGCCGGGCGCAGGTGGCTCAAGCCTGTAATCCCAGCACTTTGGGAGGCCGAGGCGGGTGGATCACGAGGTCGAGAGATCGAGACCATCCTGGTCAACATGGTGAAACCCCGTCTCTACTAAAAATACAAAAAATTAGCTGGGCATGGTGGCACGTGCCTGTAATCCCAGCTACTCAGGAGGCTGAGGCAGGAGAATTGCCTGAACCCAGGAGGCGGAGGTTGCAGGTGAGCCGAGATCGTGCCATTGCACTCCAACCTGGGTAACAAGAGCAAAACTCCGTCTCAAAAAAAAAAAAAAAAAAAAAAAAAAAGAAAATGGTACACCTGCATAGGGCCCTTAGTGTCAATGGACCTTGTAGGACTGGAAGTTGCTATGGGTGAGTGTGTGAGTGGTGAGTGAATGTGACGGCTAGGACACTCTTGTAACCTACTGTAGACTTTATAAACACTATGTCCTTAGGCTACGCTACACTTATAAAGAAGTCTTTCTTTTTTCTTTCTTTTCTTTCTTTTCCCTCCCTCCCCCCACTTCCTTCCTTCTTCCCTTTCCCTCCTTCCCGTCCCCTCCCCTTTTTTTTCTTTTTTCTTTTTTTTTTGAGACAGTTTCACTCTCGTTGCCCAGGCTGGAGTGCAGTGGCGCGATCTTGGCTCACTGCAACCTCCAACTCCAAGGTTTAAGCTGTTCTCACCTCAGTCTCCCAAGTAGCTGGGTTACAGGCATGCACCACCATGTCCAGCTAATTTTGTATTTTTAGTAGAGATGGGGTTTCTTCATGTTGGTCAGGCCAGTCTTGAACTCCTCAACCTCAGGTGACCCACTCGCCTTGGCCTCCCTAAAGTGCTGGAATTACAGGCGTGAGCTACTGCACCCAGCCAACTTTTAAATTTTTAAAACTTTTTCACTCAATTGTAATAACTTAAAACATCAGCGTATTTTCAAACATCAACACTTGGTACAGCTGTACACAAATATTTTCTTTCTTCATTTATAAGCAATTTTCTATTTTTAAAATAATTTTTTTTTTTTTTTTTTTACCTTTTAAACTTTTTTGTTAAAGACACCCACACACATTAACCTAGGCCTACAGTCCAGACCACAGTATCACTGTCTCCCACTTCCACACCTTGTCCCACTGGAAGGTCTACAGGGGCTATATAACATGCATAAGGCTGTCATTTACTTTTCTTTCTTTTTTTTTTTTTTTGAGATGGAGTCTTAATTTGTCACTCAGGCTGGAGTACAGTGGTGCAATCTCGGCTCACTACAACCTCCACCTCCTGGGTTCAAGCAGTTCTCCTGTCTCAGCCTCCTGAGTAGCTGAGACTCTAATTTTTGTATTTTTAGTAGAGACAGGGTTTCATCATGTTAGCCAGGCTGGTCTTGAACTCCTGACTTCAGGTGATCTGGCCCAAAGTTCTGGGATTACAAATGTGAGAGCCATTGTGCCTGGCCTGAGCTAGCTCACCTGGCCATCATCTCTCACAATAACAATGCCTTCTTCTAGAATACCTCCTGAGGGACCTGCCTGAGGCTGGTTTACAAGTAACTTTTTTTTTTTTTTTTTTTTTTTTTTTGAGAAGGAGTTTCACTCTTGTTACTCAGGCTGGAGTGCAATGGCGCGATCTTGGCTCACCGCAACCTCTGCCTCCTAGGGTTCAGGCAATTCTCCTGCCTCAGCCTCCTGAGTAGCTGGGATTACAGGCACGAGCCACCATGCCCAGCTAATTTTTTGTACTTTTTAGTGGAGACGGGGTTTCACCATGTTGACCAGGATGGTCTCGATCTCCTGACCTGGTGATCCACCCGCCGCGGCCTCCCAAAGTGCTGGGATTACAGGCTTGAACCACCGTGCCCGGCCCTAACTTTTTTTTTTTTTTAATGCAAGGAGTTGACTGGGCTCGGTGGCTCATACCTGTAATCCCAGCACTTCGGGAGGCCAAGGCAGGAGGATCACCTGAGGTCAAGAGTTTTGAGACCAGTCTGGCCAACACGGTGAAACCGCATCTCTACAAAAAATAAAAAAAAATTAGCTGGGCATGGTGGCGCATGCCTGTGTAATCCCAGCTTCTCGGAAGGCTGAGACACAAGAATCACTTAAACCTGGGAAGTGGAGGTTGCAGTGAGCCGAGATCACACCATTCTACCCCAGCTTGGTAGGCAGAGTGAAACTATGTCTCCAAAAATAAAAAATAAAATAAATAGAAGGCATACACTCTAAAATGATGATAAGAAG